GTTGCAGTGATGACCTCACACAGGCTTACTAACAGATCACCCTGCTGTGTGGGAAGAGGCATACATGCACACTTGCAACACAGAAACAAATTCACTTGCTTGTTTGAGCCGGAAAATTCATGGTAGTTGAAGATAGATCAAGGTCCAATAGCTTAATATTGCAGTCACTTGTGCTCTGACTGATGATTATGATGGGACTATCTAGAGTATATCTACAGTAATACAAGTTGTGATGACACCACTAAAAATCACAATTAGCAGATACTTAGTGTTATTTGTCAGTGAAATGGCTTTGCCAGTCTCCTATCTGCACAAGACTTGGTGCTACACTTGGTGGTATGTCAAGGATTATTCCCATCCCCACAACTGTATATATCTGACATTTCCCCACTCCCCCTTCACAGCTGCCACAAGACAAGATAGTATGACTCTTCTTCTCAGAGCAGGCCTGTCTTGTGTGCTGCAAATAGCCCAGTGGCCAGGCAGGGGGATTCAAGGGGGGTAACTCTGTAGCTGGATGGAAGATATTACCATCATGCTTACACTGTTAGGTGGTAGAGCGATTGATTTATTACAAAACGAGATTTAATGAAGCTTAGAGTTAGTTTAGTGTGGTAGTGTGGGTTGATATCTTTGTTAAATTTCGGTACTTTATGGACTATGGTATCTGTTTATATTTTTTTCTTTCTAGAACTCACAGAGTGTCCAATACCTCAGAAGTGGTATATCATCATCTGCCCCTCATAGTAGGACTAATTGCTGGGGTCTCTGTCAGGGATTCACTGGAAAATGTAGTGTTAATTCAGACCAAACTCTTAAGAAGGAATGGGGCATTTATTTTATCGACTTATTTTGTTTTCTTAAGTTTCTTATTGCAAGGGCATGACTTAATGTTGATAAAAGATGAGATTGAGCTCTGTTAGTTAAAACTATTGTGTCTATACCATCTGTTTCAGGTTGAGTGAAAATATCCCTTACCATGAGATAAAAAATATACCGTATTATTTGTTAGGTGCAATGATTGGCATTGATTACCTATGCTCTTGCCATTAAAGTGATTGCTAAACACCTCATCTTGTAGAATGGTTCATTTCATCTTAGCACAGGGACAGGATTAGGATAGAGCCTGTCTCTTTGACAAGAAAATAATGACAGAAGCTTGCACAATACAGAAGTATTGATTGGCGTGGTGTCACTTTGATGTGTGTCGTCACTGATGCAGCCAGCAGGGGGAGCACAACAGCTGGGGCTAACTGTGCAACAGTCACAGCACCCAGGTAACACTTAACTCCAAACAAGTTGACACAACAGAAAAATCAAATTAAGCAGTCTGAGCGGATGGTGTCATCTTAGAATAAAGAATAGTCCTGAATGACATGCAATACATTCATTTGTGCTGGTAGGATATTGACAAGAGACCTTCAATAGCTTCACCTGGAAGGTGTCCAAGTTTTCTACTTATTCAGTATATCCTTCTTTTTGAGATGTTTTAATGATAATTGATTTATAAAAAAGTCACACATATTCTAAAATTATGGAACAATGTAGATAATGTCTACTTCATGTTTTTTTGTTAGTCCTGCACCATGACTGTGGAATATATGTATTTTATGAAAACAAAACCAATCTAGATTTATATAAAATCAAGTCTACCCAGCTCTATTCCACATCAGCATCAGGAAAAGTAATTGTTTTAATTTTAGAGGAGAGAAATGTATTGTGTAATAAAAGATTCCCTAGTCTATATGTTAGTCTAGTTCAGTGTGCAAAATAACTGCCTGCCTGTTGCCCGTGGCTGGTAACTTTTCTTGTCAGGCTGCATTATATTTTCCACCACCTGCCGACTGTCTGGCTGATGATTTTAAGACTACTTACGTATTCAGTATATTATAACTCCTTGTCGACTGAAACGGTGAGTCTAGTTCTTAGTCTTATTATAAGAAACCTATGGCGGTACATACTGCATGATCTTGTAACTATAACCCATGCCAGCTAGGTTGTAGTTCCTGCTTGATGTGTCAGTGAGTTGGAGAGTAGCTGTCCAAATTAAGTCCTTCAGAATATGAAATATGTTATGGGGGTTAATGATAAAGGCATGTGTGTCAGAAAACATTGCAGGGATAATATGGGAGTCTTCATCAGTCCAGGAAAACTTCCTCCTCCTCAGATGTCCACTGTCTCCAGCCATAGTCACCCAACACTAATTAGTGCAGCCTTTATTAAATAATTTAGCTGTTGGGGGAACAAACGTAGGATATGCTTCAGCTAGCACAGAAACACATACTTAATTGAATCTGCCCAAGCAGGGGAGGCCATTCATGTCATGCAAAGTAGGTCTCATTGGTGCCATGTCCATGGGTGCCATGTGTAGATGGGTCAGAGGGAGACATAGTGGGTGGATTGATAAGGGGTTTGTGTTTGCATGCTGATTGTAGTGTAATGTGTAGTCATTGTAGTGTAATGTGTAGTCATTGTAGTGTTGGTTCATACCACTGAACCAGTATTCATTTCAACGTTTCATCTCAAAGATTCATTGTTGGTGTGATGGAATGTTTGTGGTGAGAGGAGATGTTTCTTTTCTACTCCACCCAGTGTAAACAACTATTTTGTTTTTGCTACTTATTTGAAGTGGCATACTTAAACAATCATATTTGTTTATTTACCAGTCTCATAGAATACTTTGTTTGGTGCCATTAATCACTTTTCCATTCCACCAAATCTCCCACTCCAAGAGTCGACCCACTAAACCTCCACGTTCCTGGAGCTGTAGTCACTGACTGTAGTCAGTGGTGGTAGTGCAGCCCCCACCTATCCAAGGCCCCATTATTTGGTACTACCATCTCCAGATCTGCAGCCATCCCTCCCTGTCAGGACCCCCACCATTCTTGAAATAGTGCTACCAGTCTTGACCATGGTCCCCAGCTTCTCAGTGATCAGGTTACGCCTTGTCCATCACCAACACCACATCAAAGCCAGGCTTGACCAGGGGCCAGGATGAGGTCAGTGTAAGGGATATGGCACTCTGGACTCCCAACTCAGTGGACACAATTAGAGAACTAGAGCTGGTCACCATTGCATAAGATTTCTCTGAGCAGCACTAACTAGGTTTAATCATGTGCAATGCGATCTCCTTTGCTTGGCCCACAATTGGACAGTCAGTTTGGTTTGGGACAAATTTTGTTTGAAAGGAGACAAAATCTTAACGAGCTGAATTAACCGAATTTTGTCTTGCATGGTTTGTGAGATGCTCTTCGGAGTTTGACTAATGAGTTTAAATCATGTGAAAGATATGTAGCTGCATTGAGGAGAGGGGATGAGGAGAGTGAAGGGTAATATGCTCTACTTCTCAGCCTCTCAATGTATTAGATTGCCATTCAATTAATTTGACTTTGAACATTGGTCAAAACTGTTAACTTCTTAACTCTGTTAACTCTGAACTTGACTTTAAAAATTATTCATACCATTACATTCCGGATTGAAAGAGTTAAGAATAATCAAATACACAAATGGAACATCAAAAACATGTTTTTTATTAAATGTGCTACAGTTGTTTATTATACTATATACCAAAAAAAAGAAGAATTCAGTATATAAGTGTCAAAGTTTCACCTTATGACTAAGCAAGGTCTATGTCTACTCCAGATGTCCCTTGAGGGTGGTCCATGCTTGTCCTCTGTAGTCACAAAACAAAGCTGTCTGTTTACATGGACACCATAAACAAGGTTGAGCATGATACTGGAGCAAGGCTAACATCAACACAGTTGTCCAGCCAGCCTCCTCCAGGCTGTGGGGGGGGGGGGGGGGGGGGGGGGGGGCACACTGTCCTCTGTGGCCATGCTGGTTATGTAATACGGACATATGGGGACAGCCAGGAAGTCTTTGAAGTATGACTACCTTCTTGTGTCACCTGACACCAGACAGGGGATAAGCACTGCCAGATGGGGACAGGACACAGGAGCCTCTCCCTCCTCCCCTAGCTGGCGCTGACATCCATCTCTCACCTCTCTTCCAGGACATTTGCCACCACCCTGTTCCCCACTTGTGTACTCACTACCCTCTTCTTCTTTTGCTGTCAGGAATAATTTATGTTCACTTCCTTTGACTTTTCTCATATTTTTCATATGGAGATAATTGTAAGAGAGTAAATCTAGGTTTGTTACACAGTGTCTAAGTGAATTCATCCATTTTACCCTATTTTGCACCTAGTTTAGTATTGATGATAAGGAACTCAATCATTACCAACTTGATGTAATTAAAGAACTAGAAGCAGTTCCTGCCACTATCTGTTGCTTTGAAACCTGATCTACCTTCAGCCCTCCATGTGTCTGTCACATGACCAGAGCATGGTTCCAGATTGGAGGAGGACATTGTGGTTGTCTTCTTCCCCCCAGCTGGGCTGTCCCTCCCCAAGAATCCCCCCTTACCCCTGTTGCCGAATGCAGCCTGTCCCCTACCCCCTCTAGATTTCCTACTGTATAGGAGGCCCAGTTGCTTCTGGTGTCTGTCTTAGTTCCTGTCACAGACAAGGACAGTCTGCCAGTTCTTTGTGTGAGAGGAAGCAAGAGTTGGTGACACAATCACCTGTCTGGGATATGTACTTTGTTCTGTAGGACAGTAAAGGTGGTGAAATCTGCTGGTTTCCACTGACAGTCAGCTGTTGCATATTGGCATCAGTGGACACTATGTATGTATTACTTACCATTATGGAAACAGATTTGATTTCTTTACTGACCAATGCAGTTTTTGTTTCTGGTTTTATTCATGACAACTGATACTTGTGATAGACATATGGGGCAGAGCTGCATCTGTTCACATTCCCACGCCCACTTGGTAGTTTTCAAAATATTCTCATTGTGTTGAGTGTAATCCTTTGTGTGACAATAATTTGATTGTAATATTTGTTCATAATATCATTATGATTGGACTTGTATAAAGTATTTATGGGTTTAAGGTATTTGAAAGTAATGTCAAGTAACTGAGTTGTACTTTGTCATTTTCAGCTCTTGACAAACTCGGCTACGCACACTTATTCAACCTCGGGATGCAGGTGGAGGTTGTCCAACCCAACATTGTTTTCGACATCGCAAGTCTGATGCTGTATGGAGCTCAGGCTACACCTATTCGACTGAAGATTCTCCTGGACCGTCTGTTCAGTGTCCTCCAGCATGACGAGGTGCTGCAAGTACTCAACGGCTTCGGCTGGACGTATGAGGACTATGCCAGGGGATACATTCTTCAGGTAGGACAGGTAAATCAACTTTCATTATATCCTTCTTGTTTTCCCCCAGTTGTATAACCAAGGAGACAGTAGAATATGTAGCTATAGTAGATCAGTAGTTTGTTGTGATAAACAATTTTGTTTAGTATCAGTATATTTGATATTTGAAAGACTGGTATGTAAGTATAGCAGGGCGTGGAGTCATCCCACAGATGACATCCTTATCTTGTCAGCTTGCTGACGGGGTTAACCTCTTTGGGCATATGGACAAGGCGTCCGACTTCTGATCAGAAAGTCCATGGTTCGAATCCCATCAGGGCACTCGGAAATTTTATGGCTGCTACATTGGCGCTGAGCAAGTTCAATCAAATTTGAGCAAAATATGTCTCAGTAGCCTACTATGAGGCCCGGGACGTGTCTTGACGGGGAAGTATGTAGCTGGACGAGGCATCATCCCACAGATGACATCCTCACCATGTCAGCTTGTGGACGTGGTTAACCGTTTTGGTCAAATGGACAAGGCGTCTGACTTCTGATTAGAATGTTTGTGGTTTGAATCCCATCAAGGGACTCGGAAATTTTATGGCTGCTACATAAGCAACACCATTTAAAGAATTTGTGTTCTATCAGTACTGGTACACCAGTCAAAGAAATTACCTTGAGTCAGGGGTTGTAAGATAATGTAACCTTGGACTAGTAGCTTGTGTCAGGGGTTGTAATATAATGTAACCTTGGACTTGTAGGGTTTGTGAGGGGTTGTAAGATAATGTACACTTGGCGTCGTGGGGTGTGTCAGGGGTTGTAAGATAATGTAACCTGGGACTCGTGGGGTGTGTCAAGTGTTGTAAGATAATGTAACCTTGGACTCGTGGGGTGTGTCAGGGGTTGTAAGATAATGTAACCTTGGACTCGTGGGGTGTGTCAGGGGTTGTAAGATAATGTAACCTTGGACTCGTAGGGTGTGTCAGGGGTTGTAAGATAATGTAACCATGGACTCGTGGGGTGTGTCAGGGGTTGTAAGATAATGTAACCTTGGACTCGTTGGGTGTGTCAGGGGTTGTAAGATAATGTAATCTTGGACTCGTTGGGTGTGTCAGGGGATAATGTCACCACATGGACAGGTACTGACCAGGATACTTACGGTTAGAAACAATTCTAATAAGATTATTGACTTGGATTTGTTTTGGTCAGATATGCAGATGGACTAAAGTAGATCTGTGGTTCTGGTGGAAGTATACGTCTGATAGGGGGGCATTACTGTAATCAGCATACAATGTGGTCACTGACTTACAACACAAATACCATTTCCGATTTTGTCTACCATTATCAAAAACACTTGAGTGACCAGTCAAATGTAGGGGCATTTGTTGCCAAATATTTTGAAGAAATCGTGACTATGTTTTAGTATCTAGGGTTGATGATTTCCTAATTTGAATGTCTGAAGTTGTCATTATGCTTGTTAAGGAACAGTGGAAATTGTGCCAACTTGTCTGTGAGCCACTAGCCGAGCGTGTACCTCTTAACTTTGACCATTATCTGGATGTAGATGTGAGAATTTAACATGTCTGAAAACAATTAATCAGATTCAGACATATAAGGGAGTACCGTATGTTAATATACTGTATATAAGGACATCAATTGCTAATCAAACATAATTTTATTGTACACAAGTATTTATTGTAGTAACCAGTAACAGCAATGTGCCAGTAACATCAAACATGGCATTACATAACACCATTAGGGCATCTGTCCTGCATTCACACCTAGGTATTTACATAACACACGTCTATCATCTCTAGCAAACCAGCTGATGTTGACATAAGCCTCAGTTATTGACAACTGTAGCACATGGTTTCTTCCTGTCAACAGGCTTATCTCTGTGTACCTTTCCCTATCAACACATGCAAATTGCCTGCAGGGGTTTGATAACTCAGTTTTACCCCATGAAGAGGTTGAGATTTCCAAAATGGTGACAACCTGGGCCATAGTTTCCCTCTACTGATTGGACAGACCACACTTGAAAGTGGGATGTATTGTGTGCTGGGTCTCCTCTACCCGTGCATGTGGATCTAATACACAGAGCTTCAGATGAGCATGTATTTGTGTAAAATACACACTATAAATCACCATAATGCAATTGATTTTGTAGTGCTTTCGTATAAATATGATTGGAATGAAAACATAAATATTTTTTGGAAATCTAATAGTATAACAACACTGTGTGTAATTAGCCAATGTAGCCTTTTCAGCCTGTATACCTGCATTTCTTAATAGATGTTTATTTCCTGAAGATGAACTCTTCTGTAGTGACAAATGCTACATCTCACTTGTAACTCACTTGTAACTTGCTGTAGTGAGCATACACCCAGTATGTGACACATTGGGGCATCACATGGTCAGATGCAAATGAGAAGTGACCTGAAACACCATTGCAAGCCAGTACCATTGCAAGTATGGTTTACTCATTCGATGAAGAATACCCAATATACAGAATCCAAGAGAATAAAGATATATTGATATATAAACTGTTAATACCCAAAGTAAATGATGACATGTGAGCAATAATACTCAATGGCTAAAACATTTATCTGGAACCCTGATCATACATTAGAACTTACAGCTCTGACACGTTCCGATATACAGATATTTATCTTTTAGCCACATTTTAGTTCTGTCCAAAGTAGAATATGTTTTTGATAAATTTGTTACATCTGTTATTGTGATGAAAGATTTTGGATTTACAAGGTTCTTGCTAAAGAAGAAAATTCCAAAACAGTTCACAATGGCAGCCAAGGCTGTGTGTAGGACAAGAGCTAGCCTCCTGCATGTGCCATATGGCATATCTGTCCCTGTGTGTGTAGACCTGGACTGTCAGAGATGCCTGGAGCGGAAATGTAAACACCAGACCAAGCATTCGTAGGAAGTGCTCTGTCTTGTAGAATCTTCCCTGCCAACAATATACCCCAACTGTCAGTCACCATCTTCTGTTGCTATGGCAACCAACTGACCACTCTCACAACATAAGTATTGGGTCTCAGTAGGTAGTAAATAGATGGTGAAGATCAAGAGGTCTGGTTTGTCAGTCAGGGAGGGTCTGATGAGCTGGCCAGGTGGTGGGTCTCATTGCAGTCACTGGCTTGACATGCTTGGTCGCTGTGAAATAAGATGAGATGAGTCTAATAATATATGTCTTAACTTCACTGAGTCAAACAACTGAGTTCCTGTATTTTTCAATGTGAAGCTTTTCAGAATTGTTTTTTGAAAAACAGTATAAGTGAGAGTAAACATGTTCCTCCTGAACATTTGTTCTGGAGGAATCAATATACTGGGAGTATTGGTTCCTGTGGAACAATATACCCAGGATGAAGACTATTTCCTTCCCTCAGTCAATTTCTACATATAAATTTATATTCCTCAAGAATACCTAGGCCTAATTCATTGCTCACATATACACTGTGTCTTTATCTTTGAAACAAATATATGTATGTTTTTGCTACATTATAATGCCCAAACTATTGGTAGGGACCATCACCATGCAGCACATCATCGGCTGATGAGAGAGTTGCACATGCCATCGATGTCTGTGTCTATTGGCAGTGGGGGGTCACCCAGGTGGTGACCATATAAGTCTGTGACAGCCATCAGTCCCCTCCCCCTTCACTGACCCCTCCAGTCCCTCTCACCCATCAATGACACCTAGCATCTCCTCAATCTGAAGGGGTACGGGGACACCCCTCCCAATGAATGGGAAGTTGATGTTGGGGACCAGCCCTATCTGTTCAAGGCGCAAAGGTGCCCTAATGATGACAGGACTGTCCCAGGAGGAGGTGGTTTATCAGAGGGCTGCCCTGTTGATGTATCATGGCCACATGTTAGTTGGGACACCGGTAGTCTTCATGCTGTCTTTATCAGGGAACCTTTTCATTCTTCACCAGGGTTACTGGTGAAGGGTTTTTAGATGACCTGTGAGTGGTCTCAAGCTCCTTGAAAATATTATGGAGAAGATAATTTGTCACTCTAGGTATTCTTGATGTGTTACTCTAAAAATCCAACTCATTCTATATTATTTTAAAATAAAAATCATTAAAATCATTAAAATAGTTGATCATTGTGGAGATGATTGTTTTTGTGTGGGCTATTGACAGTGCCTGGACTCAGACTTTAGCCTGGGTAAGTGTGCCTCCTGTAGCAGGCAGGCAGGCAGGCAGTAACTTTTCTTATCTTAGTCCACTTAGTGATGGAGGGAACATGGGGGCAGCCATTAGTGCCAGAGAGGGTCATGTTTAATCATGGATCAGATTACCTACAGTGACAAGGGTTTGATCACAAGGTCCCTCAGATGGGGCCAGTTGGGAGGGGGGGAGGGGGGGGCACCATGGAAGCTTGATGTTGAGATAAGTATGATCATATTTCTTGCAAATCTCCAGATCAAAGTTTGAGGATATAGGCTTACAGAACACATGGACACACCAGGCCTATCCAAATGGTCATACCAAGCATGCAGTCCTCTTTCACCCAGTCCATGTCAACAAAGAAAATTACTTGTAGCTTTCATGAATCAAGATATTTGAATGTAACAGTGTGTTGAGGTTGAAAAGTGCTGAAATATTAAAACAAATTAATTATCCATAATTCTGACCTCGAACTTAAAATGAACCATTATGATCAAATCAAAGCATGGACTTAAACATTAACAAAAGAAGCTTGAAACAGAATTCAAACATTTACCGCAAAGCAAAAGATCCTAATGGGCCCCTCAGATTTAAGAATCGAGCCAATTACAAATATTCTGTAGTTAGGTTGTTGTAAAAAATGTGTCTGGAAAGGATTCAATTTTTGTGTTGTAGGACAGATGGTTGTTGTGGGACTGTGAAGAACAGAGACTTGTATTTATGTGATGTGTAAATGGCAGGTCGCCTTCAGTAATGATGTTTACTACCCTGGCAGTACAAGGGGGCCTGGCGAGGAGATTACCACACAAAGGACCAGTGATGGCAACAGCCATTGTCTATGTAGACTTGCAGACAAGGATCACTTGCTTAGATTAGTTGGTGGAGAACTCGCTTGATTGTGGGGCTAAATGGAGACACGATCTGGTTAGGAAATGGATAAGCGTAATTCTGTAGGATCTGGATTTGATTTTTGTAAAAAGTAGAATGTGATTTTGAAATGTTTAGGGGCAAATATATGTTAATTTAGGTGTTGGAAAATATAAGTCTTAGCTTGGTAATGGGTAGATGTAAAGTAGGTGTTGTAAAATCAGGGGCCATGTCTCAGCACTGTCCTTGTGAGACTGGCAGGACGAGGTGTGAACACTGTCCTTGTGAGACTGGCAGGACGAGGTGTTAACACTGTCCTTGTGAGACTGGCAGGACGAGGTGTGAACACTGTCCTTGTGAGACTGGCAGGACGAGGTGTGAACACTGTCCTTGTGAGACTGGCAGGACGAGGTGTGAACACTGTCTTTGTCAGACTGGCAGGACGAGGTGTGAACACTGTCCTTGTGAGACTGGCAGGACGAGGTGTGAACACTGTCTTTGTCAGACTGGCAGGACGAGGTGTGAACACTGTCCTTGTGAGACTGGCAGGACGAGGTGTGAACACTGTCCTTGTGAGACTGGCAGGACGAGGTGTGAACACTGTCCTTTTGAGACTGGCAGGACGAGGTGTGAACACTGTCCTTGTGAGACTGGCAGGACGAGGTGTGAACACTGTCTTTGTCAGACTGGCAGGACGAGGTGTGAACACTGTCCTTGTGAGACTGGCAGGACGAGGTGTGAACACTGTCTTTGTCAGACTGGCAGGATGAGGTGTGAACACTGTCCTTGTGAGACTGGCAGGACAAGGTGTGAACACTGTCTTTGTCAGACTTGCAGGATGAGGTGTGAACACTGTCTTTGTCAGACTGGCAGGACGAGGTGTGAACACTGTCCTTGAGCTGGCAGGACGAGGTGTGAACACTGTCCTTGTGAGACTGGCAGGATGAGGTGTGAACACTGTCCTTGTGAGACTGGCAGGATGAGGTGTGAACACTGTCCTTGTGAGACTGGCAGGACGAGGTGTGAACACTGTCCTTTTGAGACTGGCAGGACGAGGTGTGAACACTGTCCTTATGAGACTGGCAGGATGATGTGTGAACACTGTCCTTGTGAGACTGGCAGGACGAGGTGTGAACACTGTCCTTGTGAGACTGGCAGGACGAGGTGTGAACACTGTCCTTGTGAGTCTGGCAGGACGCTTCATTCTTCATTGTTCTTTGCGACTCTTTGTGTAGCTATCATTAATAAACTGTAAGTCACTAACAACCACAATTTTGAAATAACACTGTAAAATAAGAGTACAAATTCCACAGAGCAAGTAGTATTCTGAGTGATCTGCGATTCACTAGAATACACTGATAAAGGCAGAAGCAAATTAGACAAATACATTTTTAAGATCATCAGTTGGCACTGGGTCTGCACATTCACACAGCCACAAGTAAATATGGTAATGTAGCATTATTCTGTTTACATTAAAAACATTGGAAAAAACAATCATATGATATCATGAACAAGCATGTATTATTCATTTGCACTTTGTTAAACATTTTGTTTATTAAAAACAGAACACCGTATGGAGAGTTGAACAGGTTTTGATGCCTGTGTTGTGATACTTGGGATTAAATTATACGGCTATATTTGGAAATTCTATGTTCTTATTATAAAAACATGCATTTAGTGCTCATGTAAGGAATTCAACATATAAAACATATGTATAGTATATTCATTGTGTTCTGAAAGTCCACATGTGAAGTTTTATTAACTGGCAAGTAACCTAATTGTAAATATTAAACAACAGATTGTTACATTGAACATTTTGCTAAGATGTAGACCATGTGAACGCACAGATGAATCTGTCTGTATGAACCCTGCCGAGAAATGGAGAATCCAGCTCAATGACAACCATGGGTGTTTAATTCTTAACTGCCGGGCAAAAGAAGTAAACACCCATGTTTCATGGTGGCTAAAAATGAAACAAACAAGAAATGGTTATTCCATGGTGATGTATTTCATATGGGTATCATAGTTGTGTTTTGGACCTGAAGTCTGCAGACTGTTTTCAGCCCAGTAACATTTTGATAACGTTTGTAATATTTTAGTCAAATCCAATTTTCAAGTAAATACTTTCCTTTGCCTGTCTGTTTATATTCATGTTTACACCTAACCAGAACATGATGCTGTTGTGCCTCAAATGTGTATGATATTAATCTGCGGAACTTTGTCACAGGATATTAATTGGTTGACCATAAATGAATTAATGAGGTTACCAGTGGCAATATTTGCTGTGAAGAGAAAATATATGGTAAGAATGTTATATTATCTGCCATGTCAGTTTAAGTAGTAAAGTAATAAAATGAGTGAGTGAGTTGGGTTTAACGCCGCTTTTAACAGTATTCCAGTTATATCGCGGCGTGTCAGCTTAATGTGGGAGGAAAGCCCGTAGTGATGCAGGCCTCAGACGTTTACCACTTCGGTGAAACCCACGGTGCTGACAAACCTAGAAACATAATCGGGGCGAACCAGGATTCGAACCCACAATCATAGGTTTCTGGCGTGCGCAAGGGACGCAACTCTGCACAGCGAATCGCGGCGCCTTAGACGACTGGGCCACCCATGCCCCCAGTAATAAAATGTTTTCATTACATACTCTCTAACTAGCGCTATGAAAGAATTTTGTAAATATATGGAATTTGTCACAATTATGTTATGAGTATCAATGTGAGTGTGAACACCTGTTGCAGGAGGGAGGGAGGGATATGTGTAGGGGTGTGATCAGTCACACCAGTTGGCAGGGATGCAATATGCTGGGTACGAGTGTCAATTCCCCGCACAAACAAACAGGTCTGTACACAACTCACATCAGTAAGACAATGTGCAATATATATGATATGATCAGGCACTTGTTTTTTCAGCTTGATGATTTCTCAGTATTTTTATCACTTAGTGTCGTACAGGAAGTCCCAGGGTGAGAATACTGCTTTCTCCGCCAGCCAAGTGTATCACATGTCATTGGTAAACTATTAGTTGTTTTAACTGAGTCAGCATTTGATCACAAAAACCTAAACTGATACACACATGTGGGTTGTTGAACCAAATTGTTGGTGAAAGAAATTAATTTCTATCATTGCCTAACGGTTTAAGATAGGATAAGATATATTTATTGCAAGAAAAATTCCATTTTGTAGACATACACCCAGTTGACATAAACAAACGTGTAACATTTAGAGAGTAAAAGAAACAATAATAGATATGTACATAGTTACACACATATACATCTCTTAGATACGTAATATGGCACATTATTGTCTGAAATTGTAAACACGGTGACAGATATTATTTACAGTGTTCAGGTCATTATTTGCTAAAATATATATGAATTTATCTGATCCCAACGAGAGGTAATTAAAGGGGATACCCATTAAATCCTATTCTCCAGGAATAAATGATGAGCTGGTGTAATGTTGTCCAGCTTCTTGGAGCTGTGTCAGGCAGCATGAGATACTACCAGCCAGGTTGCCCCAGTGTGTCAGGGTGATGTATTGGAGAGCGATATGATCACTGTCAGAGAGCAGTAGGGGGGCATACCAAGAGGGGAAAGTGGCAGTAGCTGACACACTCCTGCTAACTACCATACCACTAGTCATGCGCCAAGACTGTGGAAAATATAAATGTATTTTTAATGTTTTTTACTAAAAGCCTAGGCAATTCTAGATCAAACTAAACCAAGTCTAGCTTTCTTGATTCCACATATGAAAACAGCAGAAGAGGAAAGGTTCTTTTGAAAAGAGAAATTACAATTATTTTAAAGAAATGTTTTCATACACTACTTGTTAGTCTACCATGCCACCTCACAACCTAGTTAGGTCTATGGCCATCTTAAGTAGCCTCAAGACAGTAATGATGGTCACACTGAAAATGAATATTTTCCCAACAAACAATTAATTCAATTAAGTTCTTTATTCAGATGAGGTTGGCATTACTACTAATACGTATATATTAATAGATACTTTCTCCCATATACCATTTGTATGTTGGAGACAGTCTTTGGCTGTATTCTTATTTGAAGCACTGTTGTAAGGCTGTTTAGATTATATATCTTTCTTTATGTGTTGTAGGACTCTAATGGCCGTGTCCTAGACAAGTGGACAATTGCATCACGGGAGGAGGAACATATCATTCTTCAGCAGTTTTTGCGGTTTGGAGAGACCAAGGCCATTGCTCAGGAGATCATTCTACAGGACACCAAAGAGAAACAAGACCTGTACATCAAGCAGACAACACGAGCAGAGTCGGAGATCAAGAAATTCATTGAACGCAGTAATCTGAGCACCACACAGGGCCTCATTCGACCTTATGAAGCGCGACCTCTGTTTGCTGGACGTCTTCCCCTCCTGCCTCCTGGCAGCCGCCTGTTGACTCCCCCTCTCCTGCAGGCCAGTTACTCCCCCACAAGAGATATTCGACCTCTGGGCATGCCTACCTCAAATGCAACTTCCACATCCGTCTCCCCTCTTGGCCGACTTCAGACTATGCAACCCTTTGAGTTCCGGCGAGATCAGACAAGTCCAGACCCAAGTCCCAACTCGGTTGACAAACCAGCAGCAAGCTCCTCCCCATCAAGTGACAGTCCGAAGAACCTTTGTTCGACGCCTACATCTGTCCACTCAGCTCCCTCCCCAATCATGTCACAGAGGAATCTTGACAGCAGTGAGAATGCAGCTGTGCCTGGTGGCATCTGTGTCATGGACGATGATGATCAGTCTCTAGGGGCCATTGATTACTCCACAAAGGAAGACCCAGCTTCACCAGACTATGACAGTAAAGCCAAGCATTTGAGAAAGTCAAACCACCCAATCAAGCGTCAGTGGACACCTTCGGCTGGGTTTGGACAAACATTCATTGGGCCAAATGGTAAGAAGCGTGTGCTGTGTACAGCTTGTAACAAGACATTCTGTGACAAGGGTGCTTTGAAAATTCACTACAGTGCAGTTCATTTGAAGGAAATGCATAAATGCACAGTTGATGGCTGTAACATGATGTTCAGTTCTCGCAGAAGTCGCAATCGTCACAGTGCGAATCCCAACCCTAAGCTCCACATGGCAACTAAGAGGAAAGACATGAGTGACAGTCCTAGACCCTATGATGATGCCAAGTCTGTCAGGATGATTAACAGCCCACCAACCATGGTAGTTCCTCCATCACTACTTCCTAGAGGGACACTGCCTGGAGTCGATGCCCAAGGCTTGATGAGAGCTGATCCTGCCTTTTTTGTTGACATGAACAATCAGTTTGCTTATATACATGCCCCAGATAAAAGACCAAGACTTGACACAGATGACACTTCAGATGACAATCACGATGAACCAAAGGACCTCAGCAACCACATTGTGGAGGAGGGTGAGCCACTAGATGAGGAGAGCAAACAAGAGCTCAACGTGCAGAGAGGGGGGAGTCGCAGAAAGAGCAATGCTCCAACAAGGTGTGCTCAAAATGACGAGATGTATGTCATGTCAGATGATAACTCAGATGACAAAGATCCTTCAAATGGCAAATCTCTCTCAGGCAGAGGTAGGAGAGTATCCTGTAAGGATGGCAAGTCTGAATCTGATCGTCATCATCAGGACTCATGCATCAAATCAGAACCAAAGGATGAGGTACAGCAAGAAGATGGTGAAAAGAATGAAGACATGGGCTGTGGTAATGGCATCCACTGTGGACCTGAAGACAAACTACAGTCAGATCAGGACCTCAAAGAGCAAATCAGCAGAAAACGAAATTCCATCAATTTCCCAAAGATAGCATCCCTTTTAACCAACTCTAGCCATCAGAACAATAACAACAATAGTAGCATTGCATCTGATGATAGTTTCCAGAATCACTCTGCTTCTATCCATGAAGCTAGCCCATGCTCTTCCCCTTGTCGGTCTGATCAAGACTCTGAAGATTCATGCATTGATTCAAACACAAATGGCCACCTTATTGATGACTTGGAAATTCCGATTGACAAGACCAATCCCAGAAAATGCCTGACATGTGGAAAGATGTTCCAGAATCAGTTTGGTGTGAAGATCCACTACAGGAATGCACACATGAAGCTTGTACATCCATGCACAGTTGATGGCTGCAGTGCTACATTTCCATCTAAGAGAAGCCGAGACCGTCACGCCTCTAACCTAGGCCTCCATAAGAAGCTGCTGTCATCAGATGACCATGAACAGGACGGAGATTCCAGCACCAACATGCAAAGTTTGAGAGAAAATGTGCTGCAGTCCCTGTACGGCCCAGACTTCATTGAGAATGAGACTTGTGGGAGGAATGGCCACCTGTCTCCATCAGCTTCTGGATCAGCTGGGTCTGACTGCAACTCTGATGATGAGCCAGAAGAAGATGAGATCCATCTCAATGGCCATGCTGGCAGTGATGACTCATCTGATGCATCTGTCTCATGCCATCTCTGTGAGTCCAAGTTCAGGGACAACCTGGCTTTAAAGGAACATTTTGAGAACATACACCCGAAGGAAATGTTTCAGTGCACCATCAATGGATGTGAAAAGATATTTTCAACACGTAAAAGTCGGAATCGACACAGTCAGAATGATGGCCTTCACCGCCATCTGCCGATGGGGAAGAAGAATGGCGTGTCCTGACCCATGTGTCAGAAGACTAGACTCTAGCAACCTCAGTGGTTCACCATATGGCCACTTCTATATATGCAGCACTTCCGTCAGTAGAGTATTCAGTGTCTTCGGAACCAATGGCGTCTGTGTGATGCAGTTCCACATTTCTCTACAATAGGAGAACAATTCTCATGCAATACGGTCACTTGACCATTTAGTTCTGTATATGCATTTAGTTTGTAGTGTCAGTAGTTGTCTACTACAGACTTGGAACGTTCATAAGCAAACTGTGGTAGCAGCACTAGTGTTTCTCTAGGGTTTTCCCAGAAGCAGTGCCTCTTGAACTCTAGCACATGACTCCAGGATGATGGAGCAGAGAAAGCCTTATGTCATGTGAGTGAAGTCCTAGACTGTCACCAGGAACTATGCCCTAGAATAGGAGTGTATTGTGCTGTGGACCTCAAAGACAAAGTGGGCTTTAACATAGAGTGAAAGTCTGTAATGTGAGTGAGTAGACTTTAGACTTTCTTCATCTGTTGGATGTAAGAACAAGCTGAGGCAACATGTCTGTGAGGAGGACAGCGTGCTAGAACAGTCCTTACTTGGTACTAGCGAGGTCAGCATCATCACCTCAGAGACAAAGGGATTGTGTATTGAAGCAATAGTTTGGTATGGGCATCTAGCTCACATAATAAGGTTCATCTGGACCAGCTACAGTGCCCATGTGTGCCATAGTGGACCATCAGTTTATATATCCATGACAGCCACTACTGCAAGGGTGGTCTGGGTGGGAGGCTGAATCTTCATCAGTATTATAGTTCCTGCATATATTTGCAGAGATGTGTGCCTGCAATTCAGTAAAACATTGCTATGTCTGATTAGAATAGTTGAAACATGCCCGTATCACTTTCTGGAGATACTGTCAACTTCCGTTGGATAACCTTAGATACAATTCTGTATGTTAGACCATACAGTGTTTCTCACATTGATATTGTGCATGTACAATTAACCCTAAAACTATCAAAAGGCAACGTGCAACAGAATCCCAATAACAGCTATATCTGAAACGGCAGGTGTTTCTCTTCAGACTTAGCAACTGTTTTGCTGATTGGTGCAGACTAGGGAGGAGACCCTTTTCAGAGGGACTCGGCATATCACTACCACATGTGCAATGGTCAACTATTTATTTATTGAATCTATGCATGTTTTAGCAAGTTAACACGTTATATACATGTCATTGTTCATTTGCCATCACTTACCCACATCATGAATGTTGTTTTGTGCATTTTATACCATGTTTGTAGATGATCTCAAGACGAGCAAGTTTACTGACAAATGCTTTTTCATCATATATAATCACTTCCAACCCCAGTTTTACATGACAAATATGCACATATTGTAGCATCATACATATTATGCAATCATAGCGGGAAATGGCCGCCTTATCAATAGCAATTGTTTTAGATCTTTTGATCATTACACATTAGATATAGTTTATTCTCTTTCTTTGTAATCTTTAGAAACTCTTGTCCTTCTATATTCATCTCAGTGGTCTCATAAAACACAGGTAACCTATATTTCTCCACCTTTCAACACATATTTATTGCTCCTATCTTCAAGAGTCTATCACTTTAACTCTTTCTACAAGATTCTCAACACACCTGATGCCTGTTCTTAGTACAGAGTTGGGCCTGTTTCTCTTTCTTTGTCATTTAAAGCATAATATTTTCTTCTCACCAACTGAAAAACTTCAAATTGAATATCTGTATTTGTGAATACCAGAATTATTTGGTGTTATTTGATGCTGTGAAATCTGGTCAAGACAAATGACAATTGAGCATTAGCAGTGGGGGGTTGTGCAGATTATGTTTGTGTAAGTGATAGAACAAATAGAGATTAATTATTCCATGTCCCAAACTTTGCGATCACCTAGTTTGTGGTATTCACAGTACTTTATGCTTTAGGGCACAGAACTAGTCTCACTTGTTTGTTTTATGGTGCTATTACAAGATTTAACATTTGCAATATTTTTCATACATTTCAAACATGAGTGGATTTTTTTTCTCTATATTCCTAAGTTTTAGTTGGTTGTTTTTGTGATGGTTAAAGGTAGCAATTGTGTGCTCAAGTGATTATATTGTCATTGTTTTGCCATTATTTTAACATACATACACTCAGGAATATATCAGATTTATTAACTAACTCGGTTTTAGTGTGTAGCAGTAGATTTGCTGAAATATGTATGGGGATTCATAATAATTTGCATAAATTAGCATATCATTTCATAAATCCATTTTAGCTGTGCAATATTGCATTATAAATACATCATACCTCAGACATGTGTGCAATCAGCTGTGACAGTCCCATGGATATTGATATATAGATCTTACACTTTGTTTGATTGGGCTCAAATCAAAACTTGTATTTTTAGATATTTTTTTCAGTTTGAACAATACCCAGTATACACAGTTAGCCTTAGACATGACTAAGACTAAGACTTCCATGATTGTAGAGTGGGTCCACAACTAAGGAATTGTGCATAAACTAATTTGTGTGCCATACAATGTAGTCTGTTTGTCTGTTGGTCACATGTTCCAAACACTGGAGATTTGTTGGAGGGTTTTCAGTATTTATTTTTGTGTAAAAATATTATTTGATGTCATTATTTATTTCTCATTCGTTTGTAAATTTTAATGCCTTGAAAAACAAAATATTTATATTGTTGGTATGGTAACATTGGTTAGTGATATTTGTTTTAAGACAAGGTAGAATAAAACAATAAGAAAACATTTCAAAAAGATTTTGTTCTTGTTGTTTTACATTCTGGACATAAGAGTGAAATGATATCTATATCAGTAGTACTAGGCAGGCTTACATGTTGAATTATAAACATTTTCCACCATTGTGTTTTGATGTGTTTTCATTATGTTGAGAAGAAAGTCGGTTAATTAATATATAAGGTAGAGTTTTATAGTTTCTGAGATTCATTGTATGGTTGTGCTAATTTCAGATAGATATTGTGTTTTATGTTGAAAAAAAACACTACAGATGTTTTGTCAGTTATTATTTATTTGCATGTAAATGATGTATGTGCCCATTCACAGTATGCCAAAACAAAGGGTTTTCTGTACGAATCAGCTTAGAATCTATGCACATTCTTTACATTTTGTTTGGTAATAATGATCCATTGAACTATTATCACGATGACTGTATGAACATTATTACAATATGGTAATGTATATGAAATGTAACCTTTATCTGTTGTGCATTTATTAGGGCTGATGATCTGCCAAAATAACTAGTTTAAAAAATGTTGATTAAACCAATATTGATACTTATTGGTGGCTTTTTATGAAGACTATGTTAAGTATTACCTTTTAGCAAATTGCCAAGACATTGTTTTGCCAGATCATCCTTGGATCAAAAACACATGGGAAATAAATATTGCAATGTTCGTGCACTGATGCTGCAGTTCCTACAGACAGGTTCCCGTCCTGCATGTCAAGGCTTCTTTTGTCATTGTAAGAAGTCATGGCTTGAAGCTTAGAATAAGGCATCCACTTAAAGAAGGAAAAGAGGACATTAGGTTATACAGATATTCAAGGTTAAGCACTGTCCTAAAGTAATCAAATCAAAATGGCTGAATGGTTAATGCAATTTGTGAAATATTACCTTATAATTCAAGAGGGTTGAAGGGTCGAGATGGATGTAGGGGCACTATTCGAGATGGGTGTAGGGGCACTGTTCGAGATGGGTGTAGGGGCACTATTTGAGATGGGTGTATGGGCACTGTTTGAGATGGTTGTAGGGGGCACTGTTCGAGATGGGTGTAGGGGGCACTAATCAAGATGGGTGTAGGTGTACTGTTCGAGATGGGTGTAGGGGCACTGTTCGAGATGGGTGTAGGTGTACTGTTTGAGATTGGTGTATGGGCACTGTTTGAGATGGTTGTAGGGGGCACTGTTCGAGATGGGTGTAGGGGGCACTAATCAAGATGGGTGAAGGTGTACTGTTCGAGATGGGTGTAGGGGTACTGTTCAAGATGGGTGTAGGGGCACTGTTCGAGATGGGTGTAGGGGCACTGTTCGAGATGGGTGTAGGGGCACTGTTCGAGATGGGTGTAGGGGGCACTAATTAAGATGGGTGTAGGTGTACTGTTAGAGATGGGTGTAGGGGCACTGTTCGAGATGGGTGTAGGGGCACTGTTCGAGATGGGTGTAGGGGGCACTAATTAAGATGGGTGTAGGGGCACTGTTCGAGATGGGTGTAGGGGCACTGTTCGAGATGGGTGTAGGTGTACTGTTCGAGATGGGTGTAGGGGCACTGTTTGAGATGGTTGTAGGGGGCACTGTTTGAGATGGGTGTAGGGGGCACTGTTCAAGATGGTTGTAGGGGGCACAGTTTGAGATGGTTGTAGGGGGCACAGTTTGAGATGGTTGTAGGGGGCACTGTTCGAGATGGGTGTAGGGGCACTGTTCGAGATGGGTGTAGGGGCACTGTTCGAGATGGGTGTAGGGGGCACTAATTAAGATGGGTGTAGGTGTACTGTTCAAGATGGGTGTAGGTGTACTGTTCGAGATGGGTGTAGGGGCACTGTTCGAGATGGGTGTAGGGGCACTGTTCGAGATGGGTGTAGGTGTTCTGTTCGAGATGGGTGTAGGTGTACTGTTCGAGATGGGTGTAGGGGCACTGTTCGAGATTGGTGTAGGGGCACTGTTTGAGATGGGTGTAGGTGTACTGTTCGAGATGGGTGTAGGTGTACTGTTTGAGATGGGTGTAGGGGGCACTAATTAAGATGGGTGTAGGTATACTGTTCGAGATGGGTGTAGGGGCACTGTTCGAGATGGGTGTAGGGGGCACTGTTCGAGATGGGTGTAGGGGGCACTGTTCGAGATGGGTGTAGGTGTATTGTTCGAGATGGGTGTAGGGGGCACTGTTCAAGATGGATGTAGGGGCACAGTTCGAGATGGGTGTAGGTGTACTGTTCGAGATGGGTGTAGGTGTACTGTTCGAGATGGGTGTAGGTGTACTGTTCGAGATGGGTGTAGGGGGCACTGTTCGAGATTGGTGTAGGGGGCACTGTTCGAGATGGGTGTAGGGGGCACTGTTCAAGATGGGTGAAGGTGTACTGTTTGAGATGGGTGTAGGGGGCACTGTTCAAGATGGGTGTAGGGGGCACTGTTCGAGATGGGTGTAGGGGCACTGTTCGAGATGGGTGTAGGGGGCACTGTTCGAGATGGGTGTAGGGGCACTGTTCAAGATGGGTGTAGGGGCACTGTTCAAGATGGGTGTAGGGGCACAGTTCAAGATGGGTGTAGAGGCACAGTTCGAGATGGGTGTAGGGGGCACTGTTCAAGATGGGTGTAGGGGGCACTGTTCAAGATGGATGTAGGGGGCACTGTTCGAGATGCGTGTAGGGGGCACTAATCAAGATGGGTGTAGGTGTACTGTTCAAGATGGGTGTAGGGGCACTGTTCAAGATGGGTGTAGGGGCACAGTTCGAGATGGGTGTAGGTGTACTGTTCAAGATGGGTGTAGGGGCACAGTTCGAGATGGGTGTAGGTGTACTGTTCAAGATGGGTGTAGGGGCACAGTTCGAGATGGATGTAGGGGCACTGTTCAAGATGGGTGTAGGGGCACTGTTCAAGATGGGTGTAGGGGCACTGTTCAAGATGGGTGTAGGGGCACTGTTCAAGATGGGTGTAGGGGCACAGTTCGAGATGGGTGTAGGTGTACTGTTCAAGATGGGTGTAGGGGGCACTAAACAAGATGGATGTAGGGGCACAGTTCGAGATGGGTGTAGGGGCACTGTTAGAGATGGGTGTAGGGGGCACTTTTTCGAGATGGGTGTAGGGGGCACTAATCAAGATGGGTGTAGAGGCACTGTTCGAGATGGGTGTAGGGGGCACTAAACAAGATGGATGTAGGGGCACAGTTCGAGATGGGTGTAGGGGCACTGTTAGAGATGGGTGTAGGGGGCACTTTTTCGAGATGGGTGTAGGGGGCACTAATCAAGATGGGTGTAGAGGCACTGTTCGAGATGGATGTAGGTGGCACGGTTCGAGATGGATGTAGGGGGCACTGTTCGAGATGGCAGTATATATTTCCTGTATGTTGTTGAGTGTATCTTTGTTGAGTTATAGTAACTCTGTGTCATTGTTACTTGATTGCTTCCACCCGGAATTTGCCAAACTCAGATTTGTTTACCCCTGTGATAACACTTTTGTTGAGAGCATGCTTGAGTGATATGGAACTGTCAGTGCCATCAAACAAAGGAAGCCAGATCAAGGAAGTCTACTGTTTATAATGGCATTAAACTTTGTAAACATTAACAACTCCAAAAGGTTCAACATTGGACACCAACAGTTATGTATTACATCTGTGAATGTTAACATGTCTACAGTATTACACTGATATCACTTGATCTGTGCATGTTGCTCCATAGAGCCAGAAACAGCTCATTATTGATAAACTGTGAACTTTGGCCACACTTTGAGAATCAAGCATCAAGCTTAAGAGGAGGGAGGTTGGACAGGGCAAGTTTAGTTCCTACATATAGATTCATCCAAACATTGACTTTCATAGTTTAGTGTATTCCAAGTTAAGAACTGTATGTTATTATAGATGAAATCATTATAACTGGGTCCATTTTGTAGACAGGAACATGTAGTCCTTCATATATGTATAAAGGAGATTCATTACTAGATAACATACATCTAAGATATTGAACTCAATTCAAGATTAGGTGTATCACTCAAAGTTGGGAAAGTAAATGATGATGAAAGTGAAATTATTTCTCCAAAAGCAACATGCAGACTAGAGCTTTCATACAGGCTTGTATTTTTTGGTGTGTGTTTTTAGTTTTTTGGGAATACAAGAAACGGAAACCTTGACATTGACAACAGTTTATTTGGGCTCATATTTTCAGCTATAAAACTGATATTCCTAATTTTGGATTATCTTGAACCATAATTTAGGTATGGTAGAACATTCCAGTGTGGGATAGTATTTTAGTGTGACATCCACCCCATACCTGGGTTGTCTCCCCCTTGTCCCAGCCTGTCCCCCCAGTCCAACTTGCCAACTTCTCCTTTATACACAGGTTACTGTTGTGCTGTATTCCAACTAACTTGTGTGGCCGCTACCATAGTCCTCACGTTCACCTACTAATTTGCTTGAAATTTTGTAACAAACACAATTTTGGGCTGTTAAATTTGAGACCATGCATTGTGGATTGGTGGCCATGGGCCAAGGTGTTTGTGGCCACATGGCGGTCTCTTTGTGATGGCTACAATGGTTCGTTTCCATGCTAGTGTATGACATCTTAGCAAGTCAAGGTAGAGTCTTGTTAGGTGTTTAAAGTGTAATCAAAATAACATGCATGGCGATCTAGTTGTGTACCTCTGTTTTATTGTATGACAAGAAGACATACATACAGTCAAAATTTAAATTTGCAGCATTTGGGTGTATCATCATAACTATATTTGACCAATATGTAAATTAATCAAAAGTAAGAAGTCAAGGACAAAGCTTTATTTGGACATTCAAGTGACATATGGATCGTCATGCAATGAACTGACTTATGTAGTTCTTAGTATTATTTTGTACACGATTTGGAAAAAACACAAAAATAAGTTGAATTCTGCATGGCTCAATTTAGCTAGAATTGTTTTTGTCACATTGCCACGTAGTTCTGAGCTGTACAACGTTTACTTGTGTATTTATTGTTGAGGCGAAGATATTTATATGAGTAATTTGACTGGTTTTATCTGGTCAGGTTAGAAATAAACGTTTACACGAAAATATTCACATTTGTTTGTATTCTATTTGCATGTAACATGGACACGGGTGCCAGACAGCATTGTGCCAAGGTAGCTAGCTGTCTTCGACATAGCCAGTTCTGCACAATCGGAGGAAGTACACCTCCAAAAAACACACACACAGTGTCCTGGTTTTATTATGCAATCCTATGTTGTTTGCTCTTCAAGAAAGTTAAACCTCTTATTTAATTATATAAAGTATTATTTATTCGAGTTATCAGTAGGAACTTAGGTTGGGTTACAAAAAAAGACAAAACATCATTCAAAGTTTTAATGTATGGTACTTACAGGAAATCTTTCAAAAACTTCTCTTAAATATATTTTTTACATGAAGTGTGTCTAATACATCTAACTATTTCATTGTCTAACAACTTGTTTTCCAATCATTTGAATAAAATAAGGACACATAGGAGTTAAAACTAATCTTGAAAAAAAAACCCAGTAAGATACAACTTAAAATGTACACATTTAATCCATCTTTGAACATCATTCATCAAGGATCATGAAGGATGTCAGATTTTTTATGTTTGATGATAGCCACTGAGTCATGATTGCAGTGACATCATCATGCATGCATCTGGATCCAGAGTGTCATTATGCATGCATGTGTATGGAGAATGTCTATACCAAGAGACACAGCCTGTGTTGCCGGGCGCAGATGTGTAATGTACAATTGATACAGCCAGTCATGCAGAAACTTAATGAAGATGTATTAATGGTTTGAAAATTAAATCATCAATTGAGGTCAATGTCGATTTGAATTCTAAAAATAAGAAGAAACGATTTCATATGAATACAAATGATTAAATTTCACATAATACCAGACCATGACTGAGTGAAGGCTGTGACTAATCAAGCATGGGTCGTATCTTGTGTGTGACCTGATTCATACATTCATCAAACATGAGCTACAGCTGCATTGCTTGTTACTGACTGCAGCTCGCGAAACTGATAAAGCTCCAAGTTATGAATATTTGTTTCTGAGAGAGGAACCCAACATTTTGACACTCATGACACACATGACACACCTGGCACACATAACACACCTGACTACACATGACACACCTGGCACACATGACACACCTGATTACACATGAAACACCTGGTACACATGACACACCTGACTACACCTGGCACACATGACACACCTGACTACACATGACACACCTGGCACACATGACACACCTGATTACACATGAAACACCTGGTACACATGACACACCTGACTACACATGGTACACATGACACACCTGATTACACATGACACACATGACACACCTGGCACACATGACACATCTGACTACACATAACACACCTGGCACACATGACACACCTGACATACATGACCACACTTGACACACATGACACACCTGGCACACTTGACTACACATGACACACCTGGCACACATGACCACACATGTCACACCTGGCACACATAACACACATGACACACCTGACACTTATTACCATGCATGACCACACATGACTACAAATGACGGACCTGGCACACATGACCACACATGTCACACCTGGCACACATGACACACATGATCCACCTGGCACACATTACACACATGCAACACATGGCAAACATGACACGTATGACATACATGACACACCTGACAGAAATGACTCACGTGACACACATGGCACACATTACATATATGCCACACATGGCACACCTGAAACACCTGGCACACATGACCACACATGACACACGTGGTGCACCTGGCACACATGACTACACATGACCTGACACGTATGACATACATGACACACATGACAGAAATAACACACATGGCACACATGACACGTATGGCATACATGACACACCTTACACACATGGCACACATGACTACACATGACACACATGGCACACATGACACAAATGACACACATGACCACACATGACACACGTGGTGCACCTGGCACACATGACTACACATGACCTGACACGTATGACATACATGACACACATGACACAAATGACACAAATGGCACACAAGACACGTATGGCATACATGATACACCTTACACACATGGCACACATGACTACACATGACACACATGACACAAATGACACACATGACTACACATGACACACGTGGTACACATGACTACACATGGCCACACCTGACTCACATGACCATACATGACACACCTGACACACGTGATACGTATGACATACTGTACATGACACACGTGACACAAATGACCCACCTATCACACATGGCCACACATGACAGATATGACACACATCACCACACATGACACACAAGACACAAATGACACACCTGGCACACATAACAACACACCTGGCACACATGACACACCTAGCACACATGACACACCTGGCACACATGACACACCTGGCACACATGACACACATGACAGATATGACACACCTGGCACACATGACACACCTGGCACACATGGCCACACCTGGCACACATGACACACCTGGCACACATGACTACACATGACACACATGACCATTCATGACACACATGGCACGTATGACATACATGACATACGTGACACACATGATTACACATGGCACACATGTAACACATGGCATACATGACAAACAATGACACACCTGGTACACATGACGACACATGATCATACATGGCACACCTCACACGTATGACATAAATGACACACATGACAGAAATAACACACATGGCACACATGACACGTATGGCATACATGACACATCTTACACACATGGCACACATGACTACACATGACACACATGGCACACATGACTACACATGACACAAATGACACACATGACTACACATGACACATGGGTACACCTGGCACACATGACCACATATGACACAACTGGTACACATGACTACACATGGCCACACCTGACTCACATGACCATACATGACACACCTGACACACGTGATACGTATGACATACTGTACATGACACACATGACACAAATGTCACACCTGGCACACATGGCCACACATGACAGATATGACACACATCACCACACATGACACACAAGACACACATGATACACATGATGCACTTGGCACCGGGCACACATGATCACACTTTACACACATGACACACATGACACACATGACACACAAGACACACATGATACACATGATGCACTTGGCACCGGGCACACATGATCACACTTTACACACATGACACGCATGACACACAAGACACACATGATACACATGACTATAACTGACAGACATGATCACACTTCATACACATGACACACACGGTCACACATCACGATAAAACACACAATGTAGACCTGACCCACATGATCATACATATACACACATTACCGAGCTCCATATAATACACAGAGGCAGACCAGACAGCCGTGACTGTGTGAAAACCCCTGGTCGGACGATACACACATGGACGGAGATCCTAGGAAATGAAAGAGCAGTCGTTTTTTAACGACCTACTGTTTTCCAATTGCATCGTGACAGTCATTAGCGATGTTATATTTGCAGGTCTACAACGCGTCACTTACATGCGAAGTCGTATCTAGTATGGACAAAAACAGTAAGTAATTAGTTACAGGCTTTGAAGTGTGGCTGGACTTGCGTCATTAGTTAGTATTATGTCAACAACACAAAGGCAGTTTCCAGAGACAAATATCCACAGGCTGACAGAAATTGGAGTATATGTTACAGACAAGCGTCACTCCAAATTGGTAGATTTAGAGTAGAACGGGTCCTTATCTTTTACATTTGGCGGTACTGAAGAGAAGCATATGAACAAGGGACCGCCACGCCAACCAGGGTCAGACGAGCCGTCATGACATCAGTACAAGAAGTTTGATTCCTATACTTTGTATTGGAAGTATTATCTCGTTTGCCAGTTCAGTTTGTTTGGAACCATTGGGATCACTGCAAGATGAAAGCACCTGGGTAATATGCAGGTCTAACTTGAAAGTCACACTTCTTCAAAGAAATTCCAAATGTCTGTCAGGTATGGAAATAGTTTGTGATCTAGTGTATAACATATTGTTCAAATAGGCCTCATTTAACCAATATAAAGTCGGGACCTGGGTGACAAAGGTTAATCGCCATACCCTCAGCGCGTTTGAATTTATCAATGAATATTTATAAAACTGAAATATCCGGACCCATATCTAACCATCTCTAACACAAGCAGCATCTCTTCGCTCACACACAACCCCTTCCTCTCTTGCCTCATACACAACCCCTGCCTCCCTTGCCTCACACACAACCCCTTCCTCCCTTGCCTCACACACAGCCACTTCCTCACTTGCCTCACACACAACCCCTTCCTCCCTTGCCTCACACACAACCCCTTCCTCCCTTGCCTCACACACAACCCCTTCCTCCCTTGCCTCACACACAACCCCTTCCTCCCTTGCCTCACACACAACCACTTCCTCCCTTGCCTCACACGCAACCACTTCCTCCCTTGCCTCACACGCAACCCCTTCCTCCCTTGCCTCACACGCAACCCCTTCCTCCCTTGCCTCACACGCAACCCCTTCCTCCCTTGCCTCACACACAACCCCTGCCTCCCTTGCCTCACACACAACCCCTTCCTCCCTTGCCACACACACAACCACTTCCTCCCTTGCCTCACACACAACCCCTTCCTCCCTTGCCTCACACACAACCCCTTCCTCCCTTGCCTCACACACAACCCCTTCCTCACTTGCCTCACACGCAACCCCTTCCTCCCTTGCCTCACACACAACCCCTTCCTCCCTGCCTCACACACAACCCGACGCAACCCTTTCAGCACACACACACACACACCAGCGTCCTCTCCTTGTCTGTTACACACTACCCCCTCCTCCACCAGCGTCCTCTCCTTGTCCGTTACACACTACCTCCCTCCCCCACCAGCGTCCTCTCTCCACCACCTACCCACAACTACCCTTCCCACCAGAGCCCTTTTCCTCCCCCTCTCTAATTTCCCTGTCTTTTCTCACTGACGATTGTCGTCACGGAGAG